GTGGACATCAACTCCCAGAATTCCCCAGCCAGCATAGCTTCAAGTAGCCTGTGATGACCCAGGGTGGGATACAAAATAGACACAGTCACAAAAAACAGGTGAAGCCCCTTTTATTCCTTCACTTTGCTTCCAAGCTCCAAATATCTTTGACTGGAGACAAAAAAACTCCCACACAAACAGTTACAAGAAGGAGGAAATGCCGTTTAGACTAAAAATGCTGTTTAAATTATAAAGAGTAAAAAACAACACAAACCAAGCAAGATAAGGGCTTGAAGACGTCCACAGGTATCAGAACACACACTGGGAAAGACGCCAAACTCAGAGAGGAACCATAAACTAGAGATATTTCCACGTTTTGTTTCCAGCACTCGCCCATACGCATGTCGGTCCTCTTAGCCAGTTGCAACGCTGCAGCCCATTTAAGAGGATCAAGGCCCTCTCCTCCCAAGTAGACCACATCTCTCCCTTATCCTCTCCTCCCTGCGTGCTCTAGGATGGAGACGGGATGGGCCTGGGTCCTCCTCGGACTGCCCAGCCGGCCTCTGCCCTTCCCCAGTTTCCTCCACAACCTCCGGAGCCAAACCTCTACTCCCAGTTCCTCCTCTCCCTCGGAGTCAGTCTCCACCAGAGGCATGACAATTGCATAATATTCAGAGTCTACTTCTCCTTTTCATTCAATGGTCAATTTATCCATTTCCACACGCTCATAACTTTTTTTTAATTACTAAGCCTTCGGTTGGTATACAATCTTTCTTCCAACACCGCGCATAGGCTACCCTTGCTGCTGTTAATAGACGTAACACCAAATATTTTATCTTTCTGTTGTATTTCCTTTTCATTATCCCTAAAGGAAATAATTCCGGGATAGAATCTCTTTGACTTCCAATTCATTCCTGTAACCACGTTTGTATTTTCTTCCAATATTTTTTCACTTCGGGGCATAACCACCATGTATGATTAGAAAGTACCAGTTTTGGGGTCTGCATTTCCAGCAGTTTGGGTTTGCGTTTGGATAGATCTTGGCCAATCTTGCGGGTGCCGAATGCCAGGGATAAAACTTTTTATGTTAGTTTGCTTTATAAGCCGCCAATTTTGTTATCTTGCGGTTTATATTCCAGATTTCCCCCCCCCCCCCCACTCCTCTAGGTCAATACTATATCCGAAATTTTTGGCCCATGCTATCATGTAGACTAAGCATACTTTCAAACCATCTCCATGTTATTCTGTTAACATGTAGAACTACTTGCCACCAGAAATTGTGGGTGCTCCATCCCTGGAGGCTTTTAAGAGGAGAGATCAGACAGTCTGAAATGTTACAGGGCTTCCTCCAAAGTCCCCTTCCAACTCTGTTATTCTGTTAAGCCAATCGCAGATCCGGTTGGGTCAGAATGCATTTGTGACAGGACGCCCCTGGGCAACTTCAGGCTGGCTTCTAGTCAGTTTCACTATTTCTCCAAGGCTCCTTCCAGGAAGTTCCTGGTTTCTAACCGAGAATGCCGTTTGCCTGCAGACCCAACCACGAGTCTCCCAATCATGTCCCTGACACCGTTTGGGATCCTTCAACGTCGTTGACGTGCCTTCAGAATCGTCATGAAGCCAACCTCTTGCAGTTGGAGATGGCCAACGGGGAGGTAAGCTTTGGAATTGGGCACGGGTGGGCATCCAACATTTTAGCCACGGGTTCCCTGGAGGATTTCCAGGGAGGAAAACGTGACTTCCCATGATGCTCTGAAGTTCTTGAGGTCTTCCATGTTTTGTTACTTACCTGGGAGCAGAAAAAAAGGACCTGACACCATCTCTCTCTCTCTCCCTCCCTTGCAGATGGCATACAAGGTGTACGAATTGAACCAGTTGCTCCAAGCTAAGGATGCGGCACTGGAGGACCAGAAGGGCAGGTAAGGGAGGTCTCTGAGGGTGCAGGCCTGGTCTTTTTCTAGGTGCAGGCCTGGCATCCTGGGTCTCCTGCCCCAGCTGGAAGAAGGACAGGGCTATTTGAGAGCTGGGCCTTCATCTCAGTTGGTGTCCTGATCCTCGACCTGTGAGTCCCAACCGTGGCGATTTTAAGGTGTGTGGACTTCAACACCCAGATTTCCCCAGCCAGAATTCAGGCTAAGGTAGGGCTAGAATTTCCATCTCCTGGTGCTTGGCTCAGACATCCAACTGGCAAGGTGCGTGTAGGGGTAAAGGTGCTGGCCTAGAAACTGGGAGACTGTGAGTTCTAGTCCTGCCTTAGGCATGAAAGCTGGTTGGGTGACTGGACCAATCACCAGGAGATGGTGAGTTCTAGTCCCGCCTTAGACATGAAAGCCAGCTGGGTGACTTTGGTCCAATCACCAGGAGATGGTGAGTTCTAGTCCCGCCTTAGGCGTGAAAGATAGTTGGGTGACTCTGGGCCAATCACTAGGAGACTGGGAATTCTAGTCCCGCCTTAGGCATGAAAGATAGTTGGGTGGCTTTGGGCCAATCACCAGGAGATGGTGAGTTCTAGTCCCGCCTTAGACATGAAAGCCAGTTGGGGGACTTTGGGCCAATCACCAGGAGACAGGGAGGTCTAGTCCTGCCTTAGGCATAAAAACTGGCTAGGTGACTTTCGGTCCAATCATCAGGATATGATGAGTTCTAGTCCCACCTTAGGCATGAAAGATAGTTGGATGACTCTGGGCCAATCACTAGGAGACTGGGAATTCTAGTCCCGCCTTAGGCATGAAAGCCAGCTGGGTGACTTTGGGCCAATCACCAGGAAACGGGGAGTTCTAGTCCTGCCTTAGGCATAAAAACTGACTAGGTGACTTTCGGTCCAATCACCAGGAGATGGTGAGTTCTAGTCCCGCCTTAGGTGTGAAAGCCAGCTGGGTGACTCTGGGCCAATCACCAGGAGACTGGGAGTTCTAGTCCCGCCTTAGGCATGAAAGCCAGCTGGGTGACTCTGGGCCAATCACTAGGAGACGGTGAGTTGTAGTTCCGCCTTAGGCATGAAAGCCAGCTGGGTGAGGAATCCTGGGAGTTGGAGTCCACCAGTCTTAAAGTGGCCACGGTTGGGGAACCCCCTTGTCCCAGAGGGTCAGATTAAGAGGAAGCCCAATTGTCCCCCTTTCGCTCTTTCAGGCTGGCCGCTCTGAGCGGCCAACTCTCGGCTCTGCAGGGCCAGCGCTACCACTTGCAAAGCCAGGCGGAGGAGCTGGGGTGCAGGAACAGCGCCCGGAAAGCCGAGTACGATTCCCTGCAGAGGCATTTCCAGTGGCAGGATAGGGCGTTTCGCCAGGCGCAGGAAAACGGGGAGCGGCTGCTCAAACAGGTCCTGCAGAAGAAGGCAGACTGGGCCCAGCAGGAGAACCAAAGGATTGAAAGGTGAGGAGTGGGCAGTGGAAGGGTTGTCCTTGGAGACCTGGACGGGTCCTTGGATGTTCTCTGAGCTAGGTTGTTTTCATGCAGACATTTCATGACCCAGCTAGGGAACCTCATCAGTGCAAAGAAGAATTGGACACTCCCGCTGATGGTGTTCCCTAGTTGGGTCATGAACCGCCCGCAGGAGAACCACCAAGGTCAGAGGGCACCGAGGACCCCACAATCATCCTTGCCTTCCTCCTCCTCCTCCTCCTCAACACCTCAGACCAGAGGTGGGATTCAGCCGGTTCTGACCATTTCTGGAGACCCGGTAGCAAAAATGTTGAGTAGTTCGGAGAACCGGCCAATGCCGCCTCTGACCGGCCCCGCCAACCCCAGAGCCGAGAGGAACCTATGTGCCAAATTTCAAATTTGTAGGCTTTACGGTTCTGGAGATTTTGTGAGGATGCGTGAGGGGCCTTTCTCTTTTATATCTATAGATAAACAAATATTAACAGTTGAACAGAGTTGGAAGGGACCTTGTAGGTCATCTAGTCCAACCCCCGCCCAAGCAGGAGAGCCCCTACATCATTTCTGACAGATGACAGTCCGGTCTCTTCTTGAAAGCCTCCAGTGAGAAAGAGACCGGACTGCCATCTGTTCCGAGCTTCCAAAATTTTCCAAACGAAAAAGAAAATAGACGAATCTCATCTTTTTCCTCGTAGGGAGAAACAAACACAACTGACCAGGGATCTTCAGGCGGCCACTAGGTCCGTACTCCGAGTAAAAATGTGAGTTTGGCATATTTTTAACCTGTGTAAACGCCCTCCTCGGGTGTCACCCCCTACCTTGCAAGCTGGCCTCTACTTACGACGGTCGCTGAGCTCGCCGGGACAGTCGTAACTCCTAAAAGGGGTCATCAAGTGATTTTAATCCTCATCGTTTTTTGCGGGGGCCTTTAGGCAAATCATGAAACGAACTCCCCCCAGTCGTTAACCAAACCTGTCATGCCCTTGTTGGAGTCTGACTCCGAGGGGGAGTCGAACAGCCGACAGGGAGTGGGAGTCGGGCTCCCGTGGCTGTGGAGGAAACTGGGGAAGGGCACAGGCCGGCTGGGCATTCAGAGAAAGACCCAGGCCCATCTACCCTTCATCCTAGGGCACGCAGAGAGGAACGGAGAAGGGAGCAATATGGCTTATGGGAGAGGAAAAGGCCCTGATCCCCTTCCTGGGCTGCAGCTGGGAAGACTGTTTAAAAGGGGAAACTGCCCATGGCAAAGTTGCTGGAAGCAAAGCGTGCATTATCTTGGTCGAGGCTTATCTGGGTTTTGGCGTCCTCCCAACTGTGGGTGCTGCGTTATGTTGTGGAAATCTGCAATTTATCATCCTGGCCTGCCGTGTTAATGACTTCAGTGTGGTTTGTGTTGTTGTTTTTTTTAATTTCTAATTATCTTTACGGCATTTACTCCCTTCGTAGACTGTTTTTGGAAGAGTTTGATCTCCAGCCAAGGATAATTGGACATTGAGGCCCAAGTTGGAGGCATTAAAGGGAATTTATTCTACTTTGGTGACTTTGTTATTTTTGTGTCACACGCCCCTTTGGGGTCATCCCAAAACCCATCTTTTGCTAGGAGGAGGGCTTGCTACCGGTTCGCACCGGTTTGGCTGAACCGGATGTTAATTTTACACCTGGTTCGCTGAACCAGTAGCTGCAACAAATGGGTGGCCCTGCCCACACCGCCCCTCCCAGGGGTCTCCATGCAGCCTGTTTTGGATGCCAGGTAAGCGCAGGGCACAACAGGGAGGCTCAGACAGGACAAAAAATGGGCCACCCAGAAGTTCTGAAAGCCTCCGGAGTCCGGGGAGGGTGAAAACAGCCCCCCCTTCCATGGTGCAGGAGGCCAGCTAGGCCACGCCCACCCAGCAACCGGGCAGAGAACCGGTTGCTACATTTTGGGGGGGAAGCCCACCCTTTGCTAGGACGTGTCCTTTTGCTAGAAACCAGAGGTAAACATTTTAATGGTTTATCTTGATTGGTTTTTGTTGGTTTTAAGTCCCCTAGAGCGACGTATAGGTTTAGCGAATAAAGGATAAAATAAAATAAAATGACGCAAAGTTCAGGAGGAAACGGAACAATCATCTTCATTTAACAAGCCCGTAATTCCCTTAAGGGTTGGAGTTTGGGTAACTGAATGGAGCCAGCAGAGTGTTTTACTGGCCGGATGCCTTTCCTGTCGCCAGTACAGAGTTTTGTTCAGCAAATATATTCTGTGATAACCCAAAGGGGCGTGGCACAATGGCAACCCAGTCAGATAATCAGGAGGAGTCCCTTTCTAAGCTCCAACTTTGACCCCCAATGTCCTGGTTACCTTCTGGGCTGGAGAAAAACTCTCCCAGGAAGAGCAGAGAACGGACGGCAGAGAATCAAGTCCAAAACAAGGTAAACACAAACAGTAACTTAAAGTCCAAACAAGCCAAACTGAAGTAATTAGTCCGGCAGGGCAGAAGCAAGAATTCCAGCTGTGAAGGCACGGCAATAACTCAACACGGTTGGGAAGACACCAGGAACACAGATAACTAAAGTCAACACAAGATAAACTCACATTTGTTCCCAGTAGCTGCCGCACTCAGCATTCATCTCTTTTAAACTCTCATTCTCAGGTGTGCCTAATGAAGGGAATCAGGGCCCTTTCCTCCCCCGTAAGCCATGCAATTCAAGTTGCTCCCTTCTCCATTCCTCCCTGCGTGCCCTAGGATGAAGAGGGGGCGGGCCTGGGTCTTCCTCTGAACTCCCTCTCCCTTGTTCTACCTCTCCCCTGCTCTGCCCAGCTGGACTTTGCCCTTCCCCAGTTTCCTCCACAGCCAACGGAGCCATGCTCCCACTCCCTGTCCGCTCTTCGTCTTCCTCCTCGGATTCAGACTCTGACAGGGGCAGGACAGATTCTCCGTGTGCCCAGAGAGAGAAATACCTGCCTCTACCGAGGATCGAACTCACCGCCTCCTGATTGTGAGGCGAGAGCTCCACCTCTAGGCCACCGTAGAGGAAGCTCAGCAATGCTTTCAGTGAAATATTTTTAAATTTCCCTCTGACTGTTCTCCTTTGTTAGAGACTCAGCAAAAGTGAAACCAGCGGAGAAGAAGTCGGCCAGCAGACACGACTCCGAAGAGAAGAAAGGAGGTGAAAAATTGTGGAAAAGACCCTTCAGGTAAGGGGTTACCTTTAGCAGGTCATCTCTCCTGTCTACAGGTGGTCCTTGACTTACAGCCATTCGTTTAGTGACTGTCCACAATTACAATGGCGCTGGAAAAAAAGCGAATTATAGCTATTTCGGGTGTTGTGGTTCGCTGGCAGCCGGTGCAGACGGCAGCGGAATCGGACAGTGGGGAAAAACAGGGACCAGTCAGGGAGTCTGGAGAGGACTCGGATGAGGATCCTGCGTCGGATGCGGAGATGGGGCCAGGACCATCTGGGAGTGGGGTGCGGATGCCGGAGTCTCCGGAATCTGGCAGCAGCGAGGCAGAGGAACAGAGGGAGCCTGTTCCCAGTGCGTGTATGCACAGAGCTGCTAAAAGGCAAGAGCAGTTGAGACAAAAGGGGCGACTCGGGAGGAATGATTGGGAGGTGATTGGCCCTCCCATCAGGGATAAAAGTGAGGCCAAGATGACGAAGCCTTTGCAGGAAGCAAAGTTGTTCGATAGATTCCGATTCTTCCTTAAAGCCTGGTTGGTTTTTTTTTTCTGGTACTTCGGTTGGTTTCTGTTATAATTAATTGGATACTTCTGGTTTTTTTGGGCCACATTCCACAGCAGTGAAAGGTGAGTGCTTATCTTGGGGAACTATTTAAGATTAGCTCTGGCTGGGAATGCAAGGAATTCCCAGCATTGCAATAAAATAGGTTTTGCTTTTAAAACAAGTGTGTGTTTCATTACGTTTGAGGAAGCCTGGGTCAGAATATCGCGGCATCCTTGGGGGAGGGTCACATAATCAAAATTCGGCTGCTTGGCAACCGTCTCGGAGTTATGACGGTTTCCAGGGTCACGTGGTCATCGACATTGACGGCCTTCCAACCCACAAAACCGATAAGGGGAAGGAAGCCAGATTCGCTTAAGGAACAGCCGGCTCACTTAACAACTTGCGGGGACCGGCTTAGCAACCATAACGGAAAAGCACGGCTCGCATCACCTTGGGGCCCTTGCCTGGCGGTGCGAGTTCCAGTCCCCGTGGCGGTCGTAAGTGGAGGACTACCTGTAAACATCCCCCCCCCCTCCCTTCCGTTCTTCCTTTGATGACTGGAGCGCATCCGGGCTTTTCCTCTTCCGACGTCCTATTTTCATCTACAGGTCCGCATCGGCCTCCTCGCTCAGCACCACCAAATACAAGGAAGCCGTCAAGGGCTGGTTTGAGTAAGTTGTTGGCGCCGTATCCTTCCGGTTCTTTTGCCAGAACATCTTTTTTTTAAAAAAAAAAAGAAACAAAAACCCAGTGGGTCTATTTCTGAAATCCAGTCGCTCTTTCAATCTGCAATTTTTAAAGTTCCTTCTTTCCCTTTCTTTCTTCTTCCTTCCTGCCTCCCTCCCTCTTTCCCTACTTCCGTCCCTTCCCTTCCTCACCTTCTCCTTCCTTCCTCCCTTTCTTTCCTTCTTCTCTTTCTCTCACCTTCCTACTTTCCCTTTCTCTCTTCTTCCTTCCTCCTTCTCTCCCTCCCTCCTTCCCTTCCCCACCTTCTCCCTCCCTTCTTTCTTTCCTCTCTTTCTCTCACCTTCCTTCCCTTTCTCTCTTCTTCCTTCCTTCTTTCCTTCCTCCTTCTCTCCCTTCCCTTCCCCACCTTCTCCCTCCCTCCTTTCTTTCCTTCTCTTCCTCTCACCTTCCTACTTTCCCCCTCTCTCTTCTTCCTTCCTCCTTCTCTCCCTTCCTCCTTCCCTTCCCCACCTTCTCCCTGCCTTCTTTCCTTCCTCTCTTTCTTTCCTTCCTCTCTTTCTTTCCTTCTTCTCTTTCTCTCACCTTCCTACTTTCCCTCTCTCTCTTCTTCCTTCCTCCTTCTCTCCCTCCCTCCTTCCCTTACACACCTTCTCCCTCCCTTCTTTCTTTCTTGTCTTTCTCTCACCTTCCTTCCCTTTCTCTCTTCTTCCTTCCTTCTTTCCTTCCTCCTTCTCTCCCTCCTTCCTTCCCCTCCCCTCCTACTCCCTCCCTCCTTTCTTTCCTTCTTCTCTTTCTCTCACCTTCCTACTTTCCCTTTCTCTCTTCTTTCCTTTCTCCTTCTCTCTCTCCTGCCTTCCCTTCCC